GGATGAATTTCAAATGAAGGAATTTGAGGATGAATGTCATAAAAATATACAAGATTAATTTGATGATAGAAGAGAAGGGAATGACTAGAATCCTTACAGAAAGAACTCCTAGTATTTAAGGATTTCAGAGAACTACATTATATTGTTATTTGAACTCTATCATGACACAACTCTCAAATTCAATCTTGAAAAAACTATCAAAACTATCAAATCTAAATTTGAACTATTCTCTGTGAATGAATTGTGCCAAATCATTTCGTCTTGAACTCAATAAAAAATAGCCTACTTTTCCAATAATTCTTGTTTGGCATACAGACATCTCTTGACAAGTTATGTAGAAGTCTCATCTTCTACATAAAGTGTTTATATTAAACGGTCTAAAATCACACTCCCTTGGCTGCCTAGCTACTCAGTCAAAATGCAGACCAACCACATTTCAATATAGTCAATGATTGTCTACAGAGAATTCGTGTAATAGTTTAATCATGATTTACCTAAACAATGAAGTTACAGTCATCAGAAAAACACACATCAAAAAAGTAGTAAGCCTATAATTTGAGTTTTGTCCCAGACGCATGGATTCATGTGGTTAATGATCAGTTGGGAAAAAGGCTTTGTGGATTGTAATAAATTTGTTTTGTTCATGAAGAAATAAACTAGTTGAAGAACTACTCTAGTAACTATAATTGCAGCAGACCCTTCTGTTGAAGCACTTGGTCCATGGCTGTCCAAGCTTCCAAAACCTTCTTCCTTGATGTGTATTGTTTTCCAGATGGGGCATAGAAGAGCAGCACAACAGTGAAAATATTAGAAATTACTTGTTTTCATCTGGTGGACTCTAGGAGTGTGTTTGGAGAGACAAAAAAAAAATCAAAGGGGAAAGAGAAATAAATGAAGTACATTTTTTTTTTCTTTTTTTCTTTTTCCTTACAAATCGCTCCAATAATTCAACATCCTAACGATTTGGATCTATTGTAGATATATTAGTTAGTCTATTTATGTTTAGTACTCTCTGGTAGTTTGGAATTGGAGCACTTTACTTTTTCATCGTTTAAATATAATCAGAAAACTCCCATATGATTTTAGACTACAACAATGATTGAGAATCTTTTTTTGGGATCCCACAACCTCCTTTGGATCTCAATCATTGATAGTGTGGGCCCCACACATACATGAGTGGATCTCACACATACGTCAATAGTTGAGATCCAAAGGGGGTTGTGGGGGTTTCAAAGAAAGGGGTCTGAAGCATTTTTTTTTGGACTAAAATGTTATAGTTAGTTTTTTTCATCCAAACTAATGGAAGGGGTATTACACTTACCATATTTTAGAGTGGCTTTTGTTTTTTGAAAAATTAGAATGAAAATTATAATACAATAAAAGGACAATTTACCCCCATTTTCTTCAAACCTAAAATTGGATTAATATGTTAATTAAAATAAAACAAAAAACTTAAATTATAATTAAGAATTGATTTAAAATATAAAATAAAAAAATATGAAATAAACAATAATTAAGAATTGATCTAAAATAATCAAAATTAAAATTAGATTAACATGTTAGAAATTATAATAAGAATTTAGAATTAATTGTGATCTAAAATATAATTAAATTAAAACTAGATTAAATAGTATTAGTTAAATATTTAGGATTAATTGTGATAAAAAATATAATTAAATTAGAATTAGAATAAAAATTAAGAATTACAAAAAATAATTAAGAATTTAAAATTAATTGTGATTTAATTAAATTAATACTAGACATCATATGTATGAGAAATGAGAGAGATAAAAAATAACAAAAAATATAGGATTTGAGGGTATTATAGTCACTTCACATTTATAGTTAATGGTGTTAATGGTTTTTAGTCCAAAGCCACATGGGGGCCATATGACTATTATTAAAGAGGAAAATGTAGCCAAAACCCCTCCATTAGACTATTGTTTGGTGAAAATGGCAACCTAATTTATTTTGCTTCATAAACAACCTAAGGATGAGGTGCATAATTGAACAAGGATAGAGTAAAATTTCTTTTTTTTTTGGGACAATATTGCCCTTGCATATATATATATATATATATATTTATATATATATTTATATATTAGATAGCTCTTTTGACAAGGAACATTTTTATTTTATTTTATGCAAGTTTAAAAAATGTAGTGTATGTCTATTTTTGGTTAGTTCATCTAGTATGTACTCTATTTTTTGTAATAATAAAATGTTATTGTGAATCAGAATAACATGTTACCGTTAAACAAAGTAACAAGTTTCTATTTATATCAATTTTGACGGCATTTTTTTTTTATAAAAAATTCCATAGCCAATATGGATCTTATTTGATAGATGTTGATGAGAAGATTCTAATAATACCAATTTTATTAAAAATCGACATCTAAATAAAAAGTTATATTACTTTAAAGTTTAAAATATTAAATTACTTACTAAGTATATTTTGATAATAATGGTATTGTTAGACTTTTTAAGAAAAATTTTTTAT